CTTTTACTGTTTTTCAGATCAGAATCTCCGTTGTCGGAAAGTTCAGATGATGAGGGACAAGAACTTTTTGAAAGGCATATAAATGATGGTGCTCTACCGTGTACATCTGAGCAGCTGACTACAAAGGTTTGCTTGTATTTGATCTAGAAGTCAATAAATTCATTTAGCGCTTACTAAAATAAAGTTGTAGTATGAAATGGTATAAAAATTTTTTCAATTTATTAATCACGCTAATGTCAAATTCACTGTTAACGAAGTTTAATTATGTTTTTTCTCCGCTTGACGAGATGCAAAAATTTTTCAGATTTATTATCATATTGACGCTGAGGCTATCCCATACTGTGCAATTATTGATGTGTCGCCCGATGAAGTTACTTTGAAAGACTTTAAACGAGTATTTAGTAAATCTAACTTCAAGTATTTTTGTAAAGTCCCGTCTCCAGACTCGGAAATTTCGAAGTTTGTATTTACAGTTTCTAGAGATTATTACCAGCGTAGTTTTTAGCAAATAATTCTTGTGTACGCAATTCTTACTTTACTTATAATTGATTTTCGATTTGCCAGGGAAGTCAAGGTTGAGATCTCTAAGGATAGCGATATGCTACTTCGTTCTGCTAGGGGGCAGTACGAATTATACCTTGAGAGCTATGATGAAAATGGGTATTCTGACGCAAGTCCGGATTTTACGTTGGGACCTAGCGAAACATCTGGAGTAAGTGGCAGAAAAGTTTCTTCGAATTGTTGTTCGGATGATATTAACCCCCCGTAAATTATTTCGCCAAGAGTTATCTATTTTGTTTTCTGGTGTTTTAGGTTACCAATAATATGAAGACTAATCGAGGAAGGTATCGTCGTTACATCAGTAATACCGATCAGACGGGTTAGATTTCTTTAATCAACAAATGATGTAGATTCTCATGTTTGATCTTTGAATAAGTTTTTGGTAAACTTTAGTTTGAACGGTATTTTTTTCAAAAATTCGACTTGTTTTCAAATTTCTTCTCCAAATTTGTTGTTGAAGTGAAATTAATATACTTCTGTCTTGTTGAACAGAATCGCAGTAAACATGCATCTCCAATTTACCATTTTACTTGTCTATTTTTTGCTGCATTTTGTTTTTAAGCTTGACAAATTTGTTAAGTTTTAATCTTTTTTGTCTACTTAACGCAGTTTCTGCAATATTTACGAATATTTCCTATTTGATGTTCACAGCTGCGGGTATTTTTCTGTAGCAAGTTTGTTTAAAGAATTTTGAGAAGTCAGTTTAGGCACTTCGTATGAAACAGATTCGTACGCAGTGGGAAGCTACCGTTCTTTCAGAAGTTTGAAAAGAGGACGTAGTCGACGGTATAACTGGTACAATCCAGAAGGAGCTCAAGGTTTTGAGACTGTTTATCTTTAGTTTCTTTTCATTTTTTCAAGGTCAGTAGAATGAACACAAGTTAAATATCAAGCAGCCTTACAAAATATTTTTCCCTCTTCTTTCAAAGGTGGTCATCGTGGTTTCGGAGGCAGGGATTCTGCTATTGGATCTGACACAGAAGTACAACTAAATAGCGAAGATGAGGAGCGGTAACATTTTGAATATTATTGAAACTTGTGGGTTTTTTTAAAGCATTTGTTATACCAGTCTCTCAAGTTTGGGCACGTCCGCTTTCTGAAATATTGTTAGGCCGTCCTTCATTGTTTTTTTTTTTAACATTTGTAGTGGTTTTCAATTTCCAGAGTTTCCACTTCGACGGATTTTACTAGCGTTTCGCGTCAGAAGCCTAATAATTATCGAAAGAGGTGTAGTAGAAAAAAATTTCGACAGGCTTCACAAAGTTCATTTTATACTAGTATCCTAGAGAACTCAATGTCTATGGATGTGCTTACTGTTACATTAAATCTGGATATTATAAATTATCTTGGAATTAGCATTGTTGGCCAGAGTTCGCTGAAAGGAGATAATGGCATTTATGTCGCTAATGTAATAAAAGGTCAGAGCATTTGTTCTTTTTTTTCTTTTACTTCAAAGTTTAATGATGAAGTTTTGCTAAAACAGGTGGTGCAGTTGCATTAGATGGTCGTATAGAGCCAGGAGATATGATTATTCAGGTTAATGACATTGCTCTGGACAATTTTACTAATGATCAGGCTGTTGACTTTTTAAAGGAACTTGTTACTAAAAGAGGGTTAGTTTGAAGTTTGATATGCTTGGTCGTTTTGTTTGAATCGCTGTTTTACAAAACTCTTTTGTTGAGTCATTATTGCTCGCGACTTTTGCAATTCTTAGGTTTTTTGATATGTTTGATTTTCTAATTTTTGAAGACGCTGGAATATTGCATTATTTATAAGAGAGCTTTAAGCTTGGAATTAATATTAGCTCTAGAGAGGAGATCGAGTTGTACTTTGATTGTTTGAAATAGCAGAGAATTCTGAAAGGGGCTGGTCATTTAAGTCTGCCAGTCTGTCCTACTAAAATTGAGGTTGGTAGAAGCTTAATATAGTTATTTCAGTGGTAGCAGGTTCAGCAGCGAATTAAGTAATTGTTTATTTTTTGAGTTGAGCGAAGCTTCTTTTTTTGCTTTACTAGGCATAGAAAACATTGCTTCTGCTTGATTATGAACCTGTTTTTAAAGCCACTTGAATGAACTTGTAGATTAGCCTCTGGAGTATCAAATTACAGGCTAATTAAACTGACTGTCGCAAAAATGTGGGATGGGAGACCACGAAGCGATGTCTCGATACCTCGATATGACACTGAACCGGTGAGGCCAATTGATCTGAATGCTTGGATTCAGCATACAAATGCTATGCGAGGTTTAGTGTCTGCAGCAGGCAAGCGTTCATTTTGTTAGGTTTTTTACATACATTTGACTGATAGCTTTCTTGTAAAGATTGTAGCTACTATGCCATTAGAATTGAAAAAACATTGGGCTTTTATAAACTCACATGTAACTGGTTTTTTAAGGGTCTTATGCAGCTTCCAATAGGCTGATTTCCACTAGTTGTATCAGTCCCTTTGATTCAGGATTGTCAAGTTCTTCTCAGAAAGGTGGCCAAGTAATTTCTTATTGATTGAGAGGAAAAAACAGAATCTTTTATTTTTTCAATTTCTGTGCAGGAATTTATTTTTGAAAATTTCAGTCAAGTTCCAACGGGGTTCTAAATTTGATCGGCTTAATATTGTTCGAGCTTTGGCCTTGCCAGATTCAGGATTGAAACTGAAGGATCATACTTGGTTAAAGATGCAAATTCCTAATTCATTTCTAGGTACTTTTTATGATATGCTGCTGTCAAAAATGGACCGTCAATTCAAAATATTTTTCTGTTGCAGGAGCTGATTTGATTGATTGGATGATGGAGCATATTGAGGGTTTCACAGATAGAAAACAAGCCCGTTTTTTTGCAAATGAATTGTTAAATGAGAAACTGATAACTCATTTTACAAGTGTGAATCATTTTACCGAGAAGCGTTATTACACTTTTGGCAGTTTAATAGGTTTGTAGCCCATTTATTTAGTAGATCTTGGTATCAGTTCACAGCTGATGGCTACTCTGCAAAATGGAGTTTTTTAGGAAATGGTTTTCTTGCTTCAAACGTTGGGAGTACCACTGGGACAGAATCTGTTAACTCACCGGACAAGTTAGTGCCGATGGGTATTTTGCCAGCAGCTTAAATTCACAGGTTAAAAAATTGAAAACATTCTTTCTCTTGTTATCAGATGTCAGATCCGTATGAGTGGTGCTGCTTTGTGTCGTTTACAGACACTGTAAAAAAAGGGTTATTCAAAAAGCTCTGCTTTTTACTGATCTCATTTATTATCCTTTTTTATGGATAACCTGGTTTTTTGTGCACGTCGTTCTTGTGTGTTCGTATTTGGTTTCAGGAGTTGTAACAATTCTAATGAATTTAATTTTTTTTTCGTATATCGTTCTACTTAGTAGCTAAATGAGGTTGAGGCAGATTGTCACTACAGCGGGATTGCACAGCTCTTACGGCACGTCGTGGCTTGTAATTGGGGATTTTCTGATGCGTTTTTCACTGTTAATACTTTTCTCATAGCGATGTAAATTTGTTTTTATTGTATATATCAATATATACATGTACTTTGTCCCTTCTTCCTCGGGTTATACTTTGTAATATATTGGCCGTTAAATTATTCGGAGGTTTTTTTGTGCGAGGTTTCACTGATGATTGCTGGTTTCTTTGATCTTACTTTATCCTTTCCTTTTTCCTTTTATTTTCTTACCATATGTTTACTCTAGGAGCATATTTCGTGGTCAGTAGATTTAAGTATTTTTTGTTGGCACTTTCTGTAGTTTTTTTTATCTTTTTGATGAAGAGAAATCCTTTGGTCTTTGTTTTTCTTTTTTTT